GATCCTTCTGCCTCAGCCTTCCACGTAGCTGGAACTACAGGCGCGCACCACCAGGCCCGGCTAACTTTTTTATTTATTGTAGAGACGAGGTCTCGCCAACCCCTGAACTCAGGCAATCCTCTCGCCTCGGCCTCCCAAAATGCTGGGATTACAGGCATGAGCCACCGTGCCCAGCTTCGGTTTGTCATTTATTCACTGAAATAGACACCACCTTTAAGCAGCTCACAGGGAGAAAGGGGGTGTGAACAGGCAGTAAACAAGGACGCATCCATAAACTCAGGGGTAGGTGCTAGGAAGGGCAAAGACAGAAAAAGAAGGTCAGTTCAAAAAGAGTTAGCCAATGTAGCAAAAGGCCAAAGTGAAAAGATTTGGGGGAAAGAGTATCCCAGGAAGAGATAACAGCAAGTACTAAGGCCAAAAGGCCTGACAGAGGAACAGAAAGAGTCTGGTGAGCTGTGGTCAAGACATACAGGAGTGAGGTATCCAGCTTTGTGAGAAGTGCAGTTGGGATAAGACCTGTCTCCTAGGAAAGGGGAGATTCAGTAAAGAGTGCTTTTTTGTTTTGTTTTTTTTGAGTTGGAGTCTCACTCTGTCACCCAGACTGGAGTGCAGTGGCCGCTCCCGGCCACCGCAGCCTCGACCTGCTGGGCTCCAGCGATCCTTCCGCCTCAGCCTTCCAAGTAGCTGGAACTACAGGCATGCACTACCACACCTGGCTAATTTTTTGATTTATTGTAGAGATGAGGTCTCACTGCCCAGGCAGGTCTCGAACCCGTGGGCTCAGGCCATCCACGCACCTCAACCCCCCAAAGCGCGGGATTACAGGCTGAGCCACTGAGCCCGGCTAGTAAAGAGTGCTTTAAAGGGCATTTGGTAAGCGCTCAGTAAGTTGTAGCTGCTTTAAAAGTGATCATAGGCCAGACATGATGGTTCACGTCTGTAATCCTAGAACTTTGGAACTTTGGGAGGCTGAGGTGGGAGAATTGCTTGAGTCTGGGAGTTCAAGACCAGCCTAGGCAGAATAATGAACTCTCCTGCAGATATATATTCAGTCTGGGGTGGTGGCAAACACCTGTAGTCCCAGCTACTCAGGAGGCTGAGGTGGGAGGATTGCCTGAGCCCAGGAAATCAAGGCTGTAATGAACTATGATTATGCCACTGAACTGCAGCCTGGGCGAGACTGACTCAAAAAAAAAAAAGATCGTAATACTTGCTTTTGTTCTACAGGCTAGTACAGCACCAGGGGCTTTAAGTATAGTACCTTCATTATGACAATTGTGTCATTCAGTTTACCACCTGGCAGCTCTGCTGGTCAGGTGGCACTGCCTGCTGGATAGGCTGGTGATCACACTCCTGAAAACAGGATTCTACTTCGGATGGCAGGCACCAAGGGTGTTGTTGCACACTCCCAATTGGGCAGACTGCCACAGACTGGAAGTGTCGGTTTTCAGTTCCTCTGGGCCACTCACCAGATATGTGAGCTTGGAAGGGTGGTATCTCTCTGTCAAGGTCTCAGTTTCCCTACCTGAGATTCATGGAAAGGTTACATGGAATAATCCACGGGGGGTGGGTGGGGGGATATGCCTGGCACAGAGGCAGAGTCCAGCAAATACGAGCTGTTGTTATTTTATTTTATTTTTTGAGTTGGAGTCTCACTCTGTCGCCCTCTGTCGCCCAGGCTGGAGTGCAGTGTACCACTCAGGGCCACCCCAGCGTCGACCCGCTGAGCTGTGGTGATCCTTCCGTCTCACTTTCCAAGTAGCTGAACTACAGGCACATGCTACCACGCCCGGCTAATTTTTAAAATTGTATTGTAGAAGCCGGGCTCGGTGGCTCAGCCTGTAATCGCGCGCCTTTGGGAGGTTGAGGTGAGTGGATTGCCTGAGCCCGCGGG